TAAATAAAAATGACTTATACCAATATTTTTAACAGATTGAAGGAGTGGGGTTTAGAGAAAGGATGGGGTGATACTGCAGCAAGAGTCAAAGAGACTATGCACTTTCTCTCCGAGGTGCTCCAGGCACCCGACCCAGTAAACGTGGAGAATTTCTTTGGCAGGCTTCCAACAACTTTCAATGTTGTGATATTCTCAGTACATGGTTACTTTGGTCAAGCAAATGTTCTTGGCTTGCCAGATACTGGGGGCCAGGTATGTTTCTGGTAGCTAAAACAGCCTGCAAAAGAAGCATAAAGTACATGAGTAAGACTAATGTTAATGCTTTTGCAGGTGGTTTATATTTTGGATCAAGTCAGAGCATTAGAAGAGGAATTACTCATCAGAATCAAAAATCAAGGGCTTAGTGTAAAGCCTCAAATTCTAGTGGTGAGTACAATCACAATCTCAAATGAAATCATTATTTCATTGAAAATTATGAAATTCGAAAGTATAGCTGATTGGTGAGGTGTAATACAGGTCACAAGGCTAATACCAGATTCTCAAGGAACCAAGTGCAATCAGGAACTAGAATCAATTGAGGGCACCAAGTACTCTAACATTCTTCGCGTCCCATTTAGGACAGAGAATGGAATCCTCCGCCAATGGGTTTCTCGTTTTGACATATATCCATACCTTGAGAAGTTTACACAGGCATGTGGCCATTAAATTATATATTGACTTTCCAGGTTTTGAGATCATTATAAATCACTCTGATTGTTAAGTACTACTTCTCTTTCATATGACACCAGGATGCCACAATCAAAATCCTTGAGCTTATGGAAGGAAAGCCTGACCTTATAATTGGAAATTACACAGATGGAAACCTGGTTGCGTCTCTCATGGCAAACAAGCTTGGAGTAACACTGGTAAAATAGCATCAAATAACATAGCAAGAATCATATATCTCTGTTTTGTTATTCATCATTTATCTTGAAAATAGGCCACCATAGCACATGCCTTAGAAAAGACGAAGTATGAAGATTCAGATGTTGGCTGGAGAAAAAAGGATTCCAAGTACCACTTTTCATGTCAATTCACAGCAGATATAATAGCAATGAATTCAGCAGATTTCATCATCACGAGCACATTTCAAGAAATTGCAGGAAGGTCAGACACTGAGACTTGATACTTCTTACTTTAAGTTCTGACAAAATATGATTTTATCAGCACTATCCGGAGCATAAAGCAAGTTTATCAGATCTATACATAGATAGTAATCCAACTTCAATGCTAGTTAAAGGCTTAAAGCTATGTTTATAAGTTTTAATCACAATTTCTGGCTGTTAGCCCTAGGACAATAAATTTGAAAAAAATATCTGACCAAGAAATACTATATGGAGTTGATATTTTGCAGCAAAGAAAGACCTGGCCAGTATGAAAGCCATGCAGCATACACTCTTCCAGGACTATACAGGGTGGCTTCGGGCATCAATGTCTTTGACCCCAAATTCAATATTGCTGCACCTGGAGCAGACCAATCTGTCTACTTTCCCTCCACAGAAGCACAGAGACGATTCACACAATTCCATCCAGCGATTCAAGAATTACTGTACAATAATAAGGATAATGATGAACACATGTAAGTACAAAAGGATACAAAACCTGTATCTAAGTATCATACTAGTAAGATAACGTTCTTCCAATCATCGGCAACTAAGTATTTTTTTTCTAACAGGGGATTTCTAGAAGACAAGAAGAAACCCATCATTTTCTCCATGGCAAGGCTGGATACAGTGAAAAATATTACTGGACTGGTTGAGTGGTATGCAAGGAATGACAGACTCAGGAGTCTGGTCAACCTTGTTGTTGTGGCAGGTTTCTTTGATCCCTCAAAATCCAAAGATAGAGAAGAAATGGCTGAAATTAAGAAGATGCACTCATTGATAGAGAATTACAAATTGAATGGCCAATTTAGATGGATCGCTGCCCAGACTGATAAGTACAGAAACGGGGAGTTGTATCGTTTCATTGCTGATACACGAGGTGCTTTTGTGCAACCTGCTTTATATGAAGCTTTTGGTCTCACAGTCATTGAAGCAATGAATTGTGGATTGCCCACTTTTGCTACAAATCAAGGGGGGCCAGCAGAGATTATTGTTGATGGTGTCTCTGGCTTTCATATTGATCCCCACAATGGAGATGTGACAAGCAACAAAATTGCTGACTTTTTCCAGAAATGTATGAATGATGATGAATACTGGAATAAGGTCTCAGCAGCCAGTTTACAGAGAATATATGAATGGTAATAGCAATATAAATATCTCAAAGAAAATTTAATCCAACCAACAGAACTATTAGTCAAATGAATCATACTTGTATGTCGCTGGTCACCGTATTCCTTTGAGACAGGGCATTTATTGTTGTTTCCATTTCTTGTACTCTTGTGCAGCTACACATGGAAGATATATGCGAACAAACTGCTAAACATGGGATGCATGTATACCTTCTGGAAAATGCTGAACAATCAAGAGAAGCAAGCCAAGCAAAGATACATCCAAATGTTCTACAATCTTGAATACAGGAATCTGGTATGTTTCATTTCCATTAAAAATAGGTCATATCAGCTCCATACAAGATACACTTCATTAAGGTTATTTTACTAATAAAAACCTGTTGCAGGTGAAAACTGTACCTATCCCAAGCTATGAAGTTCCAAAGCCAGCACCAAAGCCAATAGTAAGGCCGCAGCCACCCAAAAGGCATGCTGTTATTCTCTCCATATATAGTCTTCCTTCATGCAATAAAACTTGATTGTTCCTACATTATAATGATGGGAAGCCTAATTTTAGAAATAAAGTAATTTTCTCATCAAACTAAGTATAGAATGCCATTTTTTACAAACCTCATGTTTTTACTGTAATTACTATTCTTTTCCCTCTTTTTTTCCTTAACAAAAGCTATCATAAAACTAACTTGAAATCATTCCAAATTTGTAACTTACGGACATAGAACCTCCCAATAATCTAGATATAAACAGACTTAATGTGTTTGGCTCATTCAGAGTAAAACAGGATAGCAGGAATGTGTGTCCTAATTCTTCTCTTTCTATATTCCCATAATATTACCATTGACTAACACAATCTCTCATTTCCTGCACCAGGCGGCCGACAACTCGGATACAGAGGTAAACGGGGGCATAGAAATCAATGACTTGAAATACTGTTTTTTCAATTTTATACTTGACATAATGCAGTGTCATTTATGACTTTCAGGTGGTTCGGAGCTTAACTCAGCACATGGCACAGTTTGAAACTTCCCCAAGAAACACGTATGCAGCTGTATACAAAGTCATTTCGAAGCTGCTCTTTATCATTGTCCTACTGCTCCTCTTTCTGATGTGTTGGACTCATTTCTCAACTTACCAAAGTCAAAAGGCATTGCCTTTCTGAATAAAGCTACCTCAATGCTATTGTAATTAATCTTAACACATATTCAAAAATTGGATGTTTCCCGACTACAGAATAAAGCATACATGTTGTATACTAAATAAACTAAATGTAAACATCAGAGAGATATACTTCAACTACAAATTGGAATATGTAATACTCTTTTATCTTCGTATTTCTGTTAGAAAAATCTGTACATCTTTTATTTTGTATCTAATTTTCTTTTCGGCCACTCCCCTCCCATCCCAAAACCAAAAAAGGGAAAAGAAAGAAAATTTCGCAGGGTGGGGAGTTGTGGTAGAAGTACGGTGGCTAAAATGACTATCACAAAGAAAATTGAAGTCTATGGAAGAAACACCAAAGGCTAATTTATCAACCTGATCCTATATTTCCACAGAATAAGAACCCCTATGCCAATACCATAAAGATACGTTAGTTTTACATAACTAGACAAATAAAAATATAGAAAAAAATCACCTATCATTTAAACAGACGAGTGAATAACTCACCCCACTTGATAAATTGACAAGTGCACAGTTTTTTCCAAAAAAAAGTCTTAAAAGTAGCATACTCATAGCTTGAAGGAGTGGGGTGCTCTAGAGCATAAAGGAAGTTAAATCACAACTACTCTAAAATGCAACAACTGTCATTAATAAAGAGTAGAATAATTAATGAAACGTGAGAACTAAAACGCAATCTCGTACAAGAGGTATTTCCGTCCCAAATCTCTTATGCACTAATTAAGTCAACATCAATTAAATGCATGATTCATATACAGGATCGCCTTGGTTTAAGTTATTCCTACCAACCTTCAACCTTGTTCGTAAATTGACAGTTAGATCTGCAAGCATTTGGTAAGCTTTTAAAGCAAGTAAAAAAATCTCTAGCTATTCTCCACTCTTAAGAGATCTTAACAAGCTAATCAATATTTAGGAAAATTTATTTTAATAATTTGGGATAGGCTTCATAGCATAGCATTTCCACTCACCTTCAGGCAGTAATACCTTCCAAACATTGCTATAATCAGAATTAAATTTTATATAAACTGAGTTACAAGGTTGAAGAGTTTTCACACCAGCTGGATTATGTTCTTGAATTTTTTGACGTAAATATGAAAATTAAACACTTAACAATAACTGCTTGAAGATAAAAATCTTTTTGAAATTAACTCCTCTATTGTACAGGGAAATAAAACTTGCAGCCAACAGTAGTAAAATATTTTAGCTTAATCAAAGCGTTATAGATATTCTAGGCACTGCCTCGTATTTACTTTGGGCACAATATAGGATTAATAGGAACTTGTTTCAACAAATTTGGTGGGCAGTGACAAATAGTGAATTAGCTAATGGATTTGTGAGAAATTTTGCGAGGAAGGTTCCATACCATTGTCAACATGCAACTCCACCCAAAAATACGTGATATTCTTTATAAATCTTCAAAACCAATTTGAGACGGAGTTACATTAACATGAACTCTGGCATGTGACTTTCCTTGCAAAACTACACAAACTATTTACCATCATTGACTACCAAATGTGTCATCATGAGAAATAATAGCTTTTTGAAACCCCGGGATACTTTGGTTATCATGATCTTAGATTTGTAGCATTATCTTGCATGTTTGTTCTTGTCAAATATCCACCATGGAACATTTATATTCATACTTGTCATCATATTCCCAAACTTGAAGCCAAAATTTCATTGATAAATATTTGTAACAAGATATATGATCATTTGAAGATTCCACAAAGTTACATTCGGACTATTGGTACTTGAGCACCCATTAAACTAATACAAAGTATTAAAGCAGGCAGCATCAGAGAACATGGAAACAGACAATATGGAAATTAATTACATTCTAAATATGAATCTTGTTGTGCCAGTTAGGTTACCTAGCCAAGCAGGCTGCTAAAATCTTCAGGGATTGTACCAATACCAAAGTTAGAAATCCATCCATGAACCTTTGCATCTTCCTGCATGCACATAACAAAAAAATTCAGGTCATCAAAGAAGTGTTTGTCATCTAGCAACCACAAGCAACAATGTGTTTCTCTTACATTAAGATCAGAAATGATTTCCAAGCAAAGGATAACATCAATAGTTGCCTCATCTGGACTACAGCCTCCCATATAGTGCCTACAGTAACACAAAGAAGCTCTACTTACCGCATTATTAAAGAAATTCCTCACCAAGAGGTATTAAAACTTTAAGAGCCATACATTATTTTAGATTAGTACTACCATATTAGTATTTCTTTTAACATGCATTATTGAAGATAAGGTCAAACTCTGCTTGAGTTCCTGCAATCTGCCCACATTCAGATAGTTCTACTTAGTTGACATATTCTTTCTGCACAAGCCATAGACATATACTGACCAATAGACTTAAATAAAGCTCGTCTACATTATTGCTCCAGATTATTCCAAAACCATTCTGATATGAATAGTAATATGATGAAAGGATGACCAGCAAAAATCAGAACTTCAAACCTACAGCTGAAATGTAAAGATGACACTCAAGTTTACCAACAAACATCAATGGGATCTTCATTCTTTAGAAATAATGACTCTTCACTTGAGTTCTAGCAACATTTTCACTGAATTATGTGTAATATTTAACTACATAACAACCTGTGCTTTAAATAAACTTTTCAATAGTTCCACACAAAACGATGGTATGAAGAGTTTGCTCAGAAACTTGACAATATTACTAGAATAAATAAATCTCAAGTTGTAACCTTAAGCAATAAGATGATATAAATGCACTAGATGCACACATATCCTCACCAGCATTCACAGCAGCTTCAATCATCAGTTTTCTCTAACAGCGGAATGACCCAGTCTCCATCTTTTGTTCCTTCCACAATCTTATCAGTTTCTGCACATCTTTTCTTCTCATAAGTTGCTTTGTCAGCCTTTAACTCATTAGTATTGCGCCTACCAAGCAACATGAGGTCCATCATTTTTCTTCGGACATTATAGAACGGGTTAGATTCAATCAAATCACCTTTGCTATAAGCCTCTCTAAGATAAACTGTCTGAGTGTCACCTTTAGTAGAGATATAGAAAATCCCAGGGTGCTTTAACAAGAGTTCGCGAAAATTAACCTCAATCCCCAAATCCTTCCGGAAATGTACAATTCTTTCAACATCCATCATTTTCTCAACAGTCAAGCTCAGAAACTCATGTAAAATTCCCACAACTCTTTTCTCAAAACGCTCAATCCCAGCTTTAGTACGACTCTGTTTAACCTCTTTTTCATAAGGTTTCACATAAGACAATCTTTGCCAATTCTTTAGCTTGTCTTTAAAACTTTTCTCTATAACATAACCTGTAGGAAAATTTATAGGGAATGCATACTTAGTCTCAAATTCACTCAACCATTTCTCCTTGTACTCCTTTTCCCTCCACTTTTCAACACCCCCAACTCCCAAACTTTCATCCCTCTCAACTAAAGCCACAACCTCAAGATCAACCAGCTTAAAATTATCCGTATACTTTCCTAGTATCGACTCTCTAAAATCCACTGGCAACCCCAACTCTCGCCTCACCAATCGTAAGGCGTGTAAATGAAGCATACCCTCTTTCGACATCATCAAAAGCTTCTTAACCCGCTTAACATTATCCAATTCACACTCCTCCATCACAACCCTCTCTTCCTCAATCAAAGCCTTCATCTTTCTTGTAACACTACAACACACATTCTTCCTAACAGGGTGCGTAAATACATCAAAAACATGCGGATAATTTCCAAGAAAATCACCCATACTAACATTAAGACCAACTACATTAGTCCAACGAGACATAATTTGAACAGAAACATAATGGCGTCTTCTCTGAGACATTAAGTCGAACAGGTGGAGTGCAATATTGAGTTTCCTGATTTGGGATGTTATTAAATCAAGTTTAAGGACCCGGGTTCGATTTTCTAACCGGGTTTGAGCAGTATTCGCGGGTTTTTTCCATCTTCTTTGAATGAAGAGGTTGAATGGGCCAAATTGGATTGGTGATTCAGGTAATTGGTGTGAATAAATAGGGTTTGTTCGAAGATATTTGAACAGTATTGCTCTCATGGCGTAAGAGAAGAGAGAGATCAAGGAAGTGGGTGTAAGGTGGTGGTGGTCGCCGGCATCGGTGGAAGTTGCTGATGGACTTGCTGTAGATGCTGGCAAGAGTGGCAACTATCCTCTATATCAACTGTATGTCTTCCCCGCGCTTTAAAATTTATTTCCGGAGTAATTTATACTGATTAAAACTTATTTTTATTGATTAAAACTTTTTTTTTTTATTAAACTGAAATTATTTTACTAAATTAAACTTATTTCTATTTAACCGAAATATTTTAACTGAATGGAAATTAATTTTACTAATTGTTATTTAAATAAGGTGATGACATTAGTGCCTAAATATTTGGTTTTTGGTCGGTTTTTATTTTTCAATTTTGTAAATATTCACATATTAATTAAAAAAATATGTACATTATATTTTAATCAAGAAAAAAAAATGTACATTCAGTTTAAAATAATATGCACTTTTTGTTCAAAAATTTCTCACATAAAATCGTTCTCATTTAATTTATATACCGTATATAGAATTAATTTATCTACCGCTAAATGTTCAATTAATATATACAAATTATAGCATTTCAAATTAAAGTTTTGGCAATAGTGAAGTAAAAAAAAAAAAAAAAAAGTGAAACAAAAAATTTTTGTTTAAAGATGCCTATTTTATATTCGATAACAAATCGAAGTTGTAATATCTCTTGTTTTCAAGCTTTTTATAAATCTGTGTATATGTACGAGGATGTTTTAGTTTTTACTTTGTATACTCCCTCCGTTAAATATTATCTGCAACTGCAATACAATTCACGGTTGCCAATGCAATTTTTAAAGGGCAAAGATTAGAGAAAGTTAAGTAACTTATGGCATGTAATTAAGGTGGAGAGAGTATGTAATCAAGTGGCAAAGATTAGCCAACACCGCCTTCACCAACACCACTACCAACCCCACGAAACCACTACCACCACCAGCCCTAACCACCTCCAACCCAGACCACCCCACCACCCAAACCCACTGTATCAAACCACATAACGTACCTTGATCAATCACGAGCAATTCACAACTACTTCTCTCAATCACGAACACCCTACACATAATTATAACCTTAATTAATATAAGGCTATCAAATAAACACAACAACTTAATTAAACTACCCCATATGTGCATGAATTAATTATCATTATATAAAATAATTTTCTGTTTATAATTTAAAGAATTTTTCTGTTTTTATAAAATTAATTTGTGTAAGAAATAATATTTAGGAAAATGATTAGTAATATAAATAAGATTAAGAGAAAGGAGGGATTAAAGGATGGTGGAGGAACCAATGCAAGGGAGGAGCAAGAGTGGTTGTGGCCGGCTAGAGTGGCGGCTGCTGGTGGCTGCCGGCCGCAGGTGGTCGCCGGAGGTGGTGGCCGCCGGTGATGGTGGCCGGAAAATTTGAGGGGGAGGAGAGGAGAAAACCGTGAGAGCAAGGGGAAAGAAGGAGAGAATTCTTGAGGTTTTTGGTGTGATTTTTGGGGTGTATGAAAGGGGTATTTATAGGTGTTTAAGGGATGGGTTTATGGCATTTTAGGGTTTATAAATTATGGAAGTTTTTTATCATGAAATTCCATTTGGTAGTTTTTAAGCTTGGAGTGCAAGGATGACATAGAATCAAATATTTTTAGGTTTAAGAATGGAAGTAAAGGAATTTAAAAGATTTTTATTTTTAATAAAATAATTTAAAATCTTTGTAGAAAAACCATGAATGGCAGAAAATATTGAGCAAAATATTACTCAATATTTTCGGACCTATCATGTTAGTTTAGGGATTTTATAAAACAATTTATTTGTCAAAAATTAAAGATTTAATAAGTTTATAGGTATTTGAAAAAATAAAATCAATTTTTCTTACTAGATTATTAGAGTGGCCGAGTTTGGACTATACTAAGGTATAAAAATCAGATTTTTATTATATAGAGTTTAAAATATTATTTGATAAATTTTGGAAATCATTTTATTTCATAAAAATAATTAATTTAGCAAATAATTAATAAAAATCAGATTTTTAATATATAAAATCCGAAAATGTGTTTCATTAGTTTAGGAATTGATTTTATTTTATGAAAATACTTTTACTTAGAGTAAAATCAGATTTTTAATTGTTAAAATTCGAAAATGATATTTATTTAGTTTTAGGAAAATAATTTTATTTCATGAAAATAATTAGTTTAGCAAGATATTAAGTAAAATTGGATTTTATTGGAAAAATCCGAAAATATGTTTACAAAAATCAGATTTTTATATTCGAAAATTCCTCTAATTTTATTAATTAATATAGTTTTGTTTTATTATTTATTTAATCAAAATACTATTTATAATTTTTTTTTATCCATTTAATTAAAATAAATGATTTAGGCGCCAAAATTCAAATATCATTTTGGCTCCAAAACTGAAATACTCTTAAGTTAGAAAATACGTCGAAAATACGAGACTAAATACTCTTTGATTTAGAAAATGCCTTTCAAAAATACGGGGTATTACACCCACCTCCAACCCAAACCACCCCACCACCCAGACCACCCCACCTCCCAGACCCACCTCTAACCCAAACCACCCCACCACCTACACCCACCTCTAACCCAGACCACCCCACCACCCACACCACCAAGACCCAACCCTAACTCAGACCACCCCCACGAAACCACCACCACTACGACCCCCAAGAAAGTCGAAATCTCGAAAATAAAAACCCAGACATTCGAAATCAAAACCCAGAAAATTCGAAATCAAAATCCAGAAATTCGAAATCAAAACCTTGAAAATCAAAACCCAGAAAATTGAAATCAAAAACCATAAAATTGAAATCAAACTCAGAAAATCGACGAATAGGAGAGAGGAAGACGAAATCAAAACTCGGAAAATGAAATCAAAACTCAGAAAACGAAGAGGAGAGAGGAAGACGAAGAGGATGATGAGGAGACAGGAACTGGAGAAGATGAAGGACGAAGAGGATGATGATGGATGAACATGGAGAAGATGAAGAGACGAAGAGGAGAGTGAAAGACGAAGAGGAATTGTTGGTGGTTGGGATTGGGAGTGAATGGAGGGATTAATTAAATTAGGGAAATCTGATTAGTTTTAGGTTAATGTGGTTAAATTAATTTAAGGGCAAAATTAAGAAAATCAGATTTTTTTTAAGTAAGGGTAAAAATGTCATTAAGGATTTTTGTTTACTAAAAATGGAAAGAAAACAGATAGTTGCACATAACCCTGATCGGAAAAAAATGGCAAAAATTGCAGATAATATTTAACGGAGGGAGTATAATTAATTAACATAAATTCATGCGATCAAACAAATGCGGAAGTCATTATGATCGATACAAACATATAATCAAAAAGTAAAAATTTTTAAATAAACTTGGTTTACATTATTTATTGTGAACCACGAATATTAGAGAAACTATGATCGTTTTATCAATACAAATAAAGTTTACTATGTTAAAATAAAAGGTTATTATGTTAAAATAAAAGTCATTGTATTATTATAAGTAAAGGTTATAAAATGTTTTTTTTATAACGAAATTTTAAATATATTGCTCAATATGAATAATAAAGGTCACTATGTTAAAATGAGTCACTATGTTCAACATAACGTAGTACTTTAGGTTCGTATAATATTAGTGGTCACACAAGTTTTAATAAAGGCTACTATGTTAAAATTAAGGTTACTATGGTTAAAATTAGGGTCACTATGTTTAATATAAAGTCAGTTTCGCGCGTATGGATTTCGGGTCTATAATAATTTATTGTGAACCAGGTCCACACAAGTTTTTTTCATTAAAAAGAGGTGAGCTGTTTATTTTAGTTTTATCCTTTTCTCTACTTCAATCCTTTTGTTTCTAATAATCACAGTACTTTCTTTTGGTAAAATTCTAGTTAATTCCTAGATTTTTTGTATTAGGAAAGGTTTCATGATTACTAGATTGTTGAATTATTCTACTAACTTCTCTTTTTATAAAATCTCACTCCTTTTATGGAAAATATTTATTGTTCAAGTAACACACATTTATAAAATCTCAATTCATGGTACACAATCTATTGTTGGGTTTCGTAGTGTCCGATACTACGTGAAATAAAACCCTCCCAAAATCCACACAAAAATTAAAGTAACTAAACATGCATATTAATTAATAATCACATAATTAACAAAGAGAGAGAAAGAAGAAAAGACGATCATACCCTTGATGCGTGCTTCGCTCTTTCTTAGAGCTCGTACTTGAAAGTGTAGAGCTTTGCAAATACGCAAGCCTCCAACGAACGACTCTCACCCTCGAGACCCGACCCGAACGGCCCCTACCCCGAAGCTTAGTCGAGGCTAGACCAAAAGAATTTAGAGTATTAGAACGAAAGTGTTCTCGCTTCTAGAGATCCTTTCAATCAAGTTCACAACTCAAGTGTCATTTTCTAATGCCAAATGATTGATATTTATAGGGAAATGAGCCCTTGAATTCCAATCTCCCATCAATGTGGGAGATTTGGTAAAAAGGCATTTATTTAATTTAATTTAATTCTAAAATCAAATTAAAAATGCAAATGCGTGCGCGCCAACTGGTGCTTCCAGACTTAGGCGTTGTAGGCGTCGTTCGAAGCGCGTCTACATTAAGCATTTTTTTAATATGCTTGGCACTCATAGGAAGTGGGAATTGACATATATACAATTAGGGACAAAGCAAAGTAGGGAACCGCCAATAAGTTTATAAGGAACTTGTAAACCGTTCACAGATCATAAAAGGCAACCACGATTAAGGGACAACGAAAGACAACAACGATTGACCCGTGAAGGTTACACCCCATTCATAATCCATGAGATTACTAACTCCATATGGTTCGGAACCACGAAAGGAGGATCAGGATAATGGTACGAAGTGAGTCAAGGAGTCACATTCGCCCGCATTGGCCTCTACTCGATTCTTATAGCGAAAAGTATTCTCTGCAATCTCAATGGCATGCAAACAAAGATTCAATTTGCTCCAAACTAAAATTAGGCTAAATTGGTTAAATATTAATGCAACATATAATTCTAAAATATTGTGATCACTTAATTAAACAACAAGATTAAAAGGAACCTAAACTGGTCATCCAAATTATCTTATTAGTCGCGATATTCAATTACATATTCCCTTTAAACATGCAATATGGTCATCAACAATAAGCAATAGAATAAACATCAACATTGGAAGCAATTTGACAATAATAATGTTAGTCAAATCAAATTACAATAAACATAATCATGATACTAGCAATATAAAATAAAATAAGCAATTAAATCAATTAATTACTCACATTCCGCGCGTTCCTTTAAATTGCTACATCATGAATAAATTGTTAGTAACTTCAATAAAAATAAATCAAATTGAAACAATTAAATTAAATTAAAAGTAGAGTGGATTTGGTCCAAACCCTCAGTCAGTTCCACATTTCACGCCTTGGTTTAAGTATGGAACTTCGGGTTAAGTATGGACTCCTTGGAGTGCTTAAAGAATGAATGATGAAAATAGGAAAATAGGTTTAAGGCTTAGAATATGAGAGAGAGAGAGAGAGAGAGAGAGAGAGAGAGAATGATTTTTTGGTGTATAAGAGAGGAAGAGAGAATGATTTTTGGTGTATGGAGAAAGAGAATGATTTTTGGTGCCCCGAAATTGAGGAAATTAGCCTCATATTTATAGAGGAAATGAGCAGGGTGATGCACGAAACCCTAGGAATGACAAGGCGCCGCGGAAAACCCCTAACTGAACGTCGCGTCACGGCATGTGTGTCGTGACACGGTGCAGGATGCTGTGACACGATATACAATACCGTCACACGGTATGTCTGCCGTGACACGGTGTCCGTTTCTGCCCTTAATCCGTCTAGATTCATTTTAACCCTAATTCTTAATCATTAAGTACATGATTTTTAGGTGCCGTTTCAGAGTTTCGGGCTTATTAAGACTTATTATTTATTAACCGGGCTAAATTAATAAATAACATGCAATGAATTAAAAAGGGTTTGGGCTGAAATGTGAGTTGGACTGAGTTTGAATAAATACTTGGACTGATTTGTAGATTGAATATGTTTGACTGAACATGGGTTTTAAGCACTCCCGAGATTAAATACTCAACCCGCCCAATAATGGCGGTGAAAGGTTGTTCATCATCGGGTTTGGTTTTGGGGAGACATTTTTAAGTGTCTACAGGCGCCAAGGCTGCCTCGCTGGTGGCCTGGACCCTTGGCTAGGCCTGCTAGCTGGGCGTTGTGCGTGTACGTAGCCCAGAAAGCAAGCACGCACAGCCTGCAGCCCACGCATGCATTGCGTGCTGTTGCTGCTGCGATGCTCTTGTGATAGGCGCAGCCCAGCACGCTGCTACCTCGCGCACAAGGCCTAGCTAGCATGTGCTGCTGGCCTTGCTTGCGATGGTGCGAGCTGGCTGCTGCCATGCCTAGCATGTGCGGCTGGCCCCTTACAGACCTTGCCTTGCACGCATAGCTAGCTCGGCCAGCATGCTCGACCATGCTAGGCATGCTTAGCTTGCGGCCGAGCCTTGCCTTGCGGCAATGGCTCTAGCTAGCCATGCTATCCATCCTAGCCCTCGATTGGCTAGTCCACTTCGAGGCCAGGATTTTCTCGTGCATATGACTAGTTGTTTGCTTGATTTCTCATCTCGTCGATTCCTAAACTCGACTCGACTTACGACGCTCTAAGCTCGGAATTCGACGTCTATGTTCGTAATACTCTAACGGCTCATTTAATACTTCGGATTAATTCGTCGTTTCGGTTCGGTTACTCGATTGGGTGTGACCCGAAGGGTTCAGTCAAGATTAAGTTGTAATATTAATTATACATTAATATTATTGATCGGAAGCGGCCTCCAGCTAGGCATTCCGATCACTTGACCTCACTGAATAATTAACTTTCTAATAATTCTGAACCCTCTATCGGAATAATACACTTGTTCGAAGGACACCATTCCTTTCATCTATTTTTCTTAAAATATGCGCAATAACTAGTATTGCAATTAATTCGATATAAATGGAGCATATAAAAGCCACGTAAGGATAATAATAATGTGCTAGCAGGGGCGGTTCTGAGGGTGTTTGGGGTGATCGACTGAACAGGGCCCTCTAATTTTAGGGGCCCTAAATTTTGGATATATGTATATTAGTTTCATATTAAAACTGAAAAATATGGTTGGAGTAATGGTTTGAGTGCAACATCCTGAAACAATGGAAAGAGGTTCAATTCCTTGAACCAACAAATTTTAATTATTTTTGGGAAGCAATGCTAATTTTTTGTGAATCTGTCCAAATTCATTGTAAACCTCTTAAAAGACCTCCTCTACTTCTCCCACATTTCCTTATCTTCCCCTTTTTCTCTCCCAAAAATTTTCAATCTCAACCCAAAATCTTTCTATCTTCCCCTTTATTCTCCCAAAATTTTCAATCTACGTTTAATTCTTCTTCAAAATTTTCCAATACCCAAATTTATCTTATTTTGACGAACATTATAATGTAATGAATTTATTTTATGAAATAAAAATTAGTTATTTAATATATTGAGTCTAGGGCCCCATTGTGATAAGTTGAGCAGGGCTCAATGATATTATCCAATTGTAGCCACGACCCTGTGTGCTAGTGCTAGATATGGGAAAAACATAACTCGATTTACTTACCCCTAGCATAATCTAACTCGAAAGTAGTGAATTTACAACTCAAAATTAACCTTTTAGCTTGATTAGTTTATTAACATAAAATTATATCAAAAAAATGATATTGAAAAAAAGTGTTTTAGGGCTAAACATAGTTACTTGAAAGAAATTAAATCATGCATAATATATATGTGGTGAATTTATTTATCTAATTTGTCAAAAAAAAAATGTTACTTTTAATATCAACGTAGTATATACAAAAAAAAAAAAAAAAAAAAAAAGGTTAAGTGATAGCTCATTTGATAAATAGGTTGGATTAGGATTGAATTTTAAAACACATTTAACAAATGGGTTAGATTTTGGTTATAAAAAATTCCAAAATTATTATCGAGTCAAACACAAACCCAATCCAATTTGATCTGCTATCCATCCCATCTAGAATCAACTAAATTCAACCCTAATTTTTAGTATAATTCATTGAAAACAATTTTTATTATACAGCTGATTGTAGCATAAATTTGGCTGTACATACAACTAAGAGTAACTATTTGTTTAATTGCTCATTGGGTAACTCTAAGTGAGCAAATAAGCCATAAATAATTGGGAACAAGTCCTAAAGGAGCACCCTAAAAAAAAACAATCTACCCACCAACATAAAACATTTGTAAAATGAGAAACGTAAATCATGTTGCAATAGACTTGATGGTAATGCACTAATGCTAAATTGGTAATAATGCAATGTTAATTAGCCAAGCTTCCAAAATCCATATATGAACAGTATGGCCCACAAAGTCACAAAGTGGAATGCAAAAAATCTCACCAACAAAATATAGACGCATAAGCACATGGTTGTGCTTTGTTTAACAAACTAGAGCCACAAATATGACGCAATGTCAAATTCCATAGATTGCTGCTTCTGGAGGTCACAAGTAGACAGATCATTCTGTCAGACCTTTACGGGTAACTGATTTTCTGTCTCTCTTTTGTATCCACATAATCACTATGCCTAAATGAGGCACATCCTATAACACCAAACAACATATTATACGGTATCTCTAATTCTCACTGAATAATGAGGGGTAGTTATTAGAGGTAGGCATGGGCCGGACTGGCATGAAAGTCAATCAAGTATGATATGAAAATCGACTGACATGGTATGAGTCCACCACAAGCCTTACCACAGTCACCAGAGTTCGGAGGGTATGGATATCATTTTTAAAAGTTGACATAAACTTGACACAAACATGGTATGTCAACCCGCTTCAATAATCTAATTTACCAAACAGTATATAAAAATTACTAAAAGGACCAAACGAATATTTCTTTACTTGTTTCAAGCACGGCCTACTTGAACACGAGACAGGCTAGCACATTGGCCTATCTCATATCCAACATTAGAAGTTGTATACTCCCTCAAACCTTGTATAGAATCTTGTATAACTCATTAATTTACTCTTTTTTGTGATTCTCTTGCACTGAACAAAAACTCGTGCCAAAATGAGGCACGGCCCAATACAACAAATACGTCCACCATCTGTGTAACATTCATAATTCCATACAAAAAAATCTGAACATCTAATCATAATAATTCACAAATTATAAACCCCAAACAAGGGGAAGGAAAGAGAAAAAAAATGAACTGAGACCATAGTATACAAGACCTAGAAACCAAATCTCCCAAAGAAAAAAAAATTAGAAATCAGAAACTGAGGGAAACCTGAAAGCTAGAAGAAACAGTACAAAGGTCAAAGATCCAGCAAGTTTGAAATTTTTTTTATAAAGGACTGAGATGCAGAAAACCCCCTCAATTTCACTTTCTGAGGAGCCTTAATTTGCTGCGCCATCAACTCCCATCCACCATATATTGCCTCTCACCTTGGAGGGCGGTTATACGATCAGACTTCATATATAGACTAATAGACATATAGTCAAATAGTCATATCCGCGACCAAAATTGCTACTTGTATGACTGTACTGATTCCTTGTGAATACTGAACTGGATATTTCAGTCTGGATAGTTATAAATGATGTGCTATCTAAATAAGGAAACCTCACTAGGATATATTACTACAAGCAAAGTCGGATTCTTTGACTTTCTCTTTCTTCATTAGGTATTGTCGATGATTGCATGTCTCTCTCTGAGAGACATCTTTTATACGGAACAAAGCCCTTTCTACCCTTGTCAACACATCTCTTCTCAATCAAAGCAAGTTCTTTCGGAGTACATGAATCCTCTATAAACTTGCTTTCTTTGTCAGACTGTGAACCGCATTGGCCAGACTCCGTCTCCATTTCCCAATTCTTGTCTGGATTCTCTCCTTCATTCACTGAACCACTATTTGAATCTGCAGAAGATCCATCTCGCTGATTTTCCTTCTCTTGGGGATCCACAAAGGGAGGTACCGACATCCCTTTGAAGAAAACCCACCATGGAAGAGGAATCGGTTTCTCTACCTGGTATGCATTACTATTCTCAGAATTAAATTTCACATGGTCCTGTGCTTCTCCAATGGTTCTCATAGAACTATCAGGCTTACAATCTTCTTGATATGCCTGGACGACTCCTTCCCCCATATCTGATGAGGGTGACTTGCTCAAGCAAGTAAATGATTCAGAGTTTCCTGAGACTACTACATCTTTTCCGAATAATTTAAGGACCTTCGTAGAACCTGATTCTTCCTTGTCAGATGACTCCTTATCTGAAAAAAGCTCCAATTTCTGCACGTCCAAATAAATTATGTTAATATGGCACACTTCAAAACAGTTGTAAAACAAAGTTTGCGATACAAACAAGTAGTGAAATAAGTACCACTGAAGCTGGAGCAACTGATCCTGGTTTGGACTCGTGCACTTCCCCTTGAGATGCGCTATCTTCAGACCGCAACCTTGCAACTTCATTGCCAAAATTGCCTGAAGATACCGGGGATGGGCTGTTGCTTTTGGTTGCAGCTGAATCTGCAGATGCTAACATATCTGAGGCGACAGCAGACAAAACTGAAGTAGGGGACTGATTATCTTGCTCAGAGAGTGAGGAGTTTGGAGACACAGATCTTGCTCCCTGTTCCATAGGCATGTCTTTTCTGGATGGAAGCACAAGTTTGCGAGGGTATGGGTGTGACGGTTTTCTCTTAGGACGGGGTGGTGGTATCTCAATTGGTTCAATTGAGCTTGCATTGCTGTTACTTGTTTCCCTAACAACCTGAACATACAAACACAGACACGGATCAGAAACATGAGGCAATTAAATTTGACCTTTTAAAGAACGTTCACAACGCCTTCAAGGTCACGGTCAGTACAACTTACTTCAAACAAAGGTAAAGAGTTGGCAAAGGACCTTTGAAAAGAATTTCTGTGCATGACTGCGGATTTGGACAGCCGACTTAGACCCAACGTGCTCTGAACACAATAACAAGTAATTTAGCATCTTCGCAAGCAGATTATATTTTCAAAATTCTTGTATAATCATCAAAGTTAATTCTCAAAACTTACCCTCAATCTTTCGCCATGCTCGGCCATATAGTTTTAGAGCTTCAAGAAATCTATTATGCTCTTCTTCCGTCCATCTTTCCCTTTGCTTTGTTATAGTATACGGCTTTCGAATCTGTTTTTAATTAAGGAGAAAGAGGACAGAAGAAGAGTAAGGTACACTGAACAACGCAATTTTGAAATCAATGATTTCAAATTGATGAGCCACTTAATAGGCAAAGAAATGATCAACACCTTAGGAACTTGGCCTTCTCCCACTGCTGACTGCACTCCGGCAGCCGGCGAATTCTTATTGCCAGAATTAGATTGAGCAGCACTAGTCTCCTCCTGATATAGTCAAACAAAGTTCAATATCAGTATCCAACACCAATAACTCCGGTCACAAACGTATCGAATCAAAACAAACGAAATCGGAATCATGTAATTGAAAATGCAACATGGAATTACCCAAGCCAACAATAACTCCGGTCATAATTGCAGTTGATAGACTTGTCAATCTGTATATATGATTCAGAATTAATCAAATTCTCAATCATATAAACAGAAACAAAACACAAAGATACCGAAATCGAGTATTTTGGACTAGTTTACCAAAAATAACCATACACAACATAGTTACATACAGTTATACAGCATCAAATCCAAAAACAACTCACACTTACCAAAATTAGCTATGGAATTTATAATTAAATTAATAATTATGCACAACAAAAGTAGGTTAACCACTAAATATCACAAGCAACACCTAAATAACTGTTCAAATTAACAAAATTATCTAACAAATAATAATAATTAATCCACCAAAATCTTACTTTATTTTCCTAAGATAAATTAACTCTTGAATAATTCATCTTCCTATCAACTAAACAAAATTCTTAGATTCTAAGTAATCATATGAAATCATTCAATTATCATCAAATTTATAAAATCATATAAATTAACAAAATTCACCTAATTAATCTTATCCTCCTGAATGAAAAATTAATACGAAGGAATTATTTTTCAAATTACATTATTAATTAATTCATCAATCCAAAGTCATACAACATCTAATCAAATATCCAAAAACATAAATCAACTCAACAAAAAAAATTCACAAAAAAAATTACAAATTTAAACAAAACTTACTTGAGCAGCCATATTAGAAGAAGACGAAAGCATCGAATCAAAAACCAATCAAATTTAATCTTCTTCAATTCGATCTCAACTTTTTCCAAAAACTTGAAATATTCAGCTAAATTCAACAGAATAATAACATATTAGTAGTAAGAGATTAATAAGAGAAACAGCAGCTAAATATTTGAGAGAGATTGCCACGTAAGAGAGAGAAAGTAGAGAGAAGGTAGTTAATTGTTTAAGAGAGGGAAGAAAAAATGAGGAAGAAAGGGGGGTTTATGTGGGAGGATTTTTTAGGAGGATAAAATGGGTATTATGAAAATTGTTAAGGGTAGATTTTGGTAGAATTCTCCAGAACTTTGTGGATTCTTGTGGCTCACGTTCAAAGTTCGTCTCTAACACGTGGCAATCCTTTGTTTTTTTTCTACTCCCTTCGTTTTTTTTTTTTTTATCGGATAAGATTTTTTATTTTAATAATAATTAATTTAATATTTTTAAGTTTGCTCTTTATGAAGAAAATTGGTGGGGTGTGAGTGTTTATTTAGTTATACTCGCGCGTGTTAGATGGACATGTATGCTTGCCATAATATTTCTTACACGTGGATACTATTTGCGGCTCCCACTTTTTTGTGCTTTTTTCTTTTTTTTTTTTTTTTTTTTTTTTTTTTTTTTTTGTGTTTAGTTTATTTACGCTTTTTTTTTTTTTTTTTGGTTGAGAAGAGTTGTGAGTTTACGCTTTTTCTCAAGAGTTCTTAACGTTGTTAGATCCGTATTTGCTAATTTCACGTGGTTTTGCTTTTATGACCTAAATTCCCCCTTCCTTTTACGACTAATTTCCCCTTTTAACATATTATTTGAAGATTCTAACTAACTCTATGCATTCTTTTTCCTGGAAAAAAAAATTAACTCTATGAATTCTTCATTTTTATTTTTTCACATCTAGAAAATTTATATGAGAAAACGATAGAATGAGTTCCCGTTCACTTCACCTTAAAAAAAATAAAATATTTAATAAAAACAATTTCAGTTCAGTAAAAATAAGTTCAGTTCAGTAAAAATCAGTAACTTCATAGAAGAAATATAATAGACAATCTGTAAAAATAATTTCAATTCAGTAAAATTAATTTCAGTTCAGTCAAAAATAATTTCAGTTCAGTAAAAATAATTTAAGTTCAGCAAATATAATTTCAGTTCAGTAAAAATAATTTCAGTTTAGCAATAATAAAGTGAAGTGAATGGGGCCTAAGTAAAATTAACTTTTATGTGCACAACTAACTTTGTATGGTAAAGAGAATTTTAGAAAGATTTTAGCTTGCTGAAATCTATTGGAGGTTTGACATTTTAAAATAGAACTTGAATATAGTGTGATAAGATTTATACATTAATATTGAGATATGTAAATGTCTATTGTGATATGATATTATCATATGAGATTTTATTGTAATATTAGTATATAATGTGATCAGATTTATACATTAACTAGTTTTGTGCCCGGGCGATGCCCAGTGATATAATTTTAAGATAAAATTTTTACTTCAATGTTAAATACGGTCAAATATATTTAGACATACGATATCATATGGAGTGTACTTTGTATAGCTTTGTTTGTAAATTGACTTGAAATTATTTTTATTGAACTTAAATTATTTTCACTGAACTGAAAGTATATTTACCAAACTAAAATTATTTTTATTAATTAAAACTTATTTTGATTATCTAATTTTTTAAAATAAATTAAATAACAATGCAATTTGTATGTGGCTAACCACACCATGTGGCCGGACAAAGTAACCCCTATAAAACTGATCGAGTAACCCCTGTAATATTAACTGGGTAACCTCTAACAATGACTAAGTAACCCCTATCTATAACACTGATTGAGTAACCACTATAACACTGACCAAGTAACCCCTATAACACTAATGAAGTAACTTTGATCTTGTAATAGTTGGTGACACGGTTTGGCCAACTAAGTATAAAAGTTTGTGATTAAATATATTATAAATGGATCTCATTTTAAAGAACTTTTTAAAACGAATTTAATGATGAAAATAGAATTGAGTTATAGGATATTTATTAAAAGTTATGATTAATTTTGTATATATGAAATATTTATTAAGTTTTGTGCCTTGTGTGATGCCCGGGTTGTTTATTGAATTTTAAAATAAATTTTTTTATCTAAAACATATATGTTATTTTAATTTTCTACTTGATTTTTTTTTCCTTTTATACCTCTTTGGTTCTGCCATTTTAAATAAAAATATTGGTATTTTATTGAAAATAAAATTCTAAATCAAAGTTTTATTGAAAATAAAACTCTAAAATAACTTCTTTTTTTTATCCTACTAAATCTATTCAAATTTTATTAAAAATAAAACTCTAAAATAACTTTTTAATCATATTCACTAAAAATATAATCAAATAAATCTTACATGTTATATTAATAATTATTGTCGCCTACGTGGCGCGACACTTGGAAAAAAGTTAGAATGCCAAGTGTCGTCTCGTAGCCTAGATAAAAGTTTCGATTTATATATTAGTCAGGTTGTTGAAAAAATTTCAGTATAATAAACTTATTTGCTTGAATGTTAAATACGGTCCTACGATCCCTTTTGATAATCTAGGATATTTAGACATACGATGCCATATCGCTTATTTAATTAAATAATAGTGTATTTTTTGTAGTTTTGTTTGTGAATTGATATCTAGGTTATTTTTGACTTGAAATTATTTTTATTGAACTTAAATTGTTTATTATTTTTTTCAATTAAATTAAATATATTATGAATGGATCTTATTTTAAAGAACTTTTTAAAACGAATTGTATGATGGAAATAGAACCGAGTTATAGGATATTTATTAAAAGGTATGATTAATTTTACAACATTTTTATCTTATAAAAACTATCCGAAATTAATTTACTTAGTATCATATGTGTCATAATAATATCTATTTTTCACCTACGTGGAACGACAATTGGCGAAAAACCGGAATGTCAAGTGTCGCTGTCTCGTGGCATGGCTGCGAGACTGGCTTTATTTATTCGTGACTAGTTTTGTGCCTGGGCGATAGATGGTTGATAAAATTTTAAGATAACATTTTTACTTGAATATTAATTACGGTCAAATAATTTGTTTTGATAATGTAAGATATTTAGACATACGATATCATATGACTTATATTTATATAATAGTGTACTTTTTGTAGTTTTGTTTGTGTATATATATATATATATATATATATATATATATATATATATATATATATATATATATATATATATATATATATATATATATATATATATATATATATATATATATATATATATATATATATATATATATATATATATATATATATATATATATATGTTATTAATGACTTAGCATTTTTTTTATTGAAGTTAAATTATTTTCATTGAACTGAAAGTATTTTTACCTAACTAAAATTATTTTTATTGATTAAAACTTATTTACTAATTTTCTAATTTTTTTTTAAATAAATTAAATAACAATGCATTTTGTATGCGCCCAACCACACCACGGACAAAGTAACCCCTATAAAACTGATTGAGTAATGCCTGTAATACTAACTGAGTAACTAACCTCTAACACTGATTAAGTAACCCCTATCTATAACACTGATTGAGTAACCACTATAATACATTAATACTGACCAAGTAACCCCTAACTCTTGTAATAGTTGGTGACACGGTTTGACCAGCTTCGTACAAAAGTTTATGATTAAATATATTATAAATGGATCTTATTTTAAAGAACTTTTTAAAACGAATTTAATGATAGAAATAGAATTGAGTTTTGTGCCTGGGCGATGCCTAGATTGTTCATAAAAATATAATTTTTTATTTTTTATTTTTGCTTGAATATTAAATACGATCCTATAATCTCTTTTGATAATGCAGAATATTTAGACATAAGATATCATATCACTTAATTATATAATAGTTTACTTTTTGTAGTTTTGTTTGTAAATAGATATCTATTTTATTATTGACTTGAAATTGTTTTACCGAACTTAAATTACTTTTATTAAACTTAAATTATTTTTACTGATTAAGACTTATTTTTACTAATTTTCTAATATTTTAAAAAATGAATTAAATATATTATAAATGGATCTTGTTTAAAGAACTTTTTAAAACGAATTTTATGATGGAAATAGAACAAATTATAGGATATTTAATAAAAGTTAGGATTAATTTTGTATATATGAAATATTAGAAGTATATCGATAATAAAACTCAAAGCAACATTTTTATCTTTAAAAATCTATCCAAAATTCGCTTATTTAGCATCGTACGTGTCACAATAATACGTATTTATCGCCTTTGTGGTCCGACACTTGGCGAAAAATTGAAATGTCAAGTGTCGCTATATTGTGGCCTGGCTGCGAGACCGGCTTTATTTATTAGTGATATGATATTGAGATATATAAATGTCCATTATGATATGATATTATCGTCGTATGAGATTTTATTGTAATATTAGTAGATATGTTATCAACATATGAGATTTTATTGTAATATTAGTAGATATGATAATATCATATGAGATTTTATTGTAATACTAGTAGTCTAGTGTTAAGAGATAGGATGAAATATAAAGATATTATATCACAAAATACATTTATATCTCAAAGATTAAGGCATGTTCACTTAACCTTAAAATAATTTCAGTTTAGTATAAATAATTTCATTTCAATAAAAATAAGTTCAATTCAGCAAAAATAATTTCAATTCAGTAAAAATAATTTCAGTTAGGTAAAAATCAGTAACTTTAAAAAATAAATATAATAGAGAATCAATAAAAATAATTTCAGTTCAGCAAAAATAATATCAGTTCAGTAAAAATAATTTCAATTTATTAAAAATAAGGTGAAGTGAACAAGGCCTAACACCATTGGTATAAGTATTATTATTAACTTTTATTTCATCATTAACTTATTATATCGCAAAATTAAAAGGATACGACCAATTCCTTAATACCTTCTTTTATATAAATAAGCTTGAAACTTTCAATTCATATAAATTTTCTCTTTCTTGATTGGTATAAAATCAATTTAAACAATTACACTGCATATGTGTATATGATCGATTAAATAACTAATTAACTAATTATTCTTCAAAGAAAAAAATTAACTAGCTAATTACTCAACATATATATAAGGCTAGTATCTTCGGTTAATAAATTTAATTTACTCAATAAAAATCACTGAATACCTTGCTTTATTTTTACTTATTTTAGTAAGGAAAAATTTAGATAAGCAAAGGTTAATATTTCAAATAATTTTACGAAACATAATTTTATATATGAAGTAAGTTCCTGTAAATAATGTTAATAATGACTATGCAATAAGTTCAACTTACAACTAAGGGCTTGTTCAGTTCACCTTATTTTTGCTGAACTGAAATTATTTTTACCGAACTTAAATTATTTTATTGAATTAAAATTAATTTTACTGAACTGAAATTATTTTTACTGAACTCAAATTATTTTTGCTGAACAGAAATTATTTTAACTGATTCTCTATTATATTTCTCCTTTATAGTTATTGAATTTTACTGAACTGAAATTATTTTTACTGAACTGAAATTATTTTTGCTGAACTAAACTTATTTTTACCTAATTGAAATTATTTT